CGTCACTGTGGACTACATCAAAAGCTGAACGGTTTCGAGGTTGTCGGGACTTATGGCACTTATTATGACTATTATAGAGAGCTTTTGCACTGGGACGCCACAGCCGCATGCAATGCCAATGATGGTCAGCCAGCCAGCTATTACCACTCCACTAATCCATCTTTAGATTAACTTAATTTCTAATCATGGCCATTATTAAACATTTAAACATGTGCGTTTTATTATGTCGCACATGTGTCATATTCTGCGAATAAATATTTGCCACACAACATGAACCGTTAATGGAGAGGCAGGAAAAAAAAAAGCGAACAGCAATGCTTAGCAAAGAAGATTCTCACACGGTATTGGCGATCAGGCTGCAGGTTTAGCTAAGCACGCATGCAGTCTCGCTTCACTATTGTGACATTTCCCCTACCTCCATCCATACATATCACCCTGCCTGCTGCATTACCAACAATGTTGTATTTCCAATCATGGAATCTATCCAAATGGTCAATAAGTTACATTCAGCCATATCTGTATCTTCTCATTGTTGTGAATGACACCCGCTTGGACCCCCCACCCCTGGGTTAGAGCCATTATGCCAGTAATAAACCTGTCTTTGTCTTCTTCCTTTGCCGCCATCACAATGCGATTTAAATCGAATTGCAACGCATCACATTTAGAAGTGGCTGATGATGATGATGGGGATGATGCGAGTCGGAGGTGTGTGCAGGGTGAGGATGGCAACAAAATTGGTGTACTGCCAATAATGAATGTCGCACAAAGCAATCTGTTGTCTGTCGGTCTGCAATCACAGACGTAGGAAAGAATAAAAATCACTTGGCTATCGGACTGACTGACTGCCTGCATGCCTGCCAGGTTGGCTGGCTAGCTGGCTGTGTGTCCTTAAAAGTCTATAAAAATGTATGAAATTGTAAAGAATTGTTTTGAACGACTAATGTCTGAAACTGGCGGTGACATAGCCATAAATGGTCATAATCGACTAGGAGTGGGACAAGTTATAATGTCCACTTCGAGCCACCACCACCTGATCACAATGTGGTTGGTGATGATGATGATGACGATAATAGTCGTCAGGTTGATGACATCAAGGGAGTACAGTATTTAATAACTTTGAAGTTCAATAAACTCCAACTGGTTAGATTGTTGGCAGTGTCATTGGATTCCGCATTGATATGTCAATCGGGCAACATCATTTTACAACCGCAATTGTTGCAATCAAACAAATCATACTTTTGCGGATTGGGTTTTGTAGTGTGGTAAAGAAATTTGGCTTAGGGAATACATGATTCTTACAAAAAATTACAAATAATAGACACTTCGGTAAGAAAATCGTCAACAAGAACCCAGAATGCCAGCACAGCCTTATGTAGGACTTGAAAAATTATATAAGGACTTGAAAAATAATCTTTAACAAATATATGGGCCTTTATTCTGTAAAGAAATCCACTCCTCTAAATGGGCCTTGAAAAATTATTCTGTAAAGAAATCCACGCCTCTATATGGGCCTTGAAAAATTATTCTGTAAAGAAAACCACGCCTGTATATGGGGCTTTAAAAATTATTCTGTAAAGAAATCCACGCCTCTATATGGGCCTTGAAAAATTATTCTGTAAAGAAATCCACGCCTCTATATGGGCCTTTAAAAATTATTCTGTAAAGAAATCCACGCCTCTATATGGGCCTTTAAAAATTATCCTGTAAAGATATCCACGCCTCTAAATGGGCCTTTAAAAATTATTCTGTAAAGAAATCCACGCCTCTGTATGGGCCTTTAAAAATTATTCTGTAAAGAAATCCACGCCTCTATATCGGCCTTGAAAAATTATTCTGTAAAGAAATCCACGCCTCTATATGGGCCTTTAAAAAATTATTCTGTAAAGAAATCCACGCCTCTATATGGGCCTTTAAAAATTATTCTGTAAAGAAATCCACGCCTCTATATGGGCCTTGAAAAATTATTCTGTAAAGAAATCCACGCCTCTATATAGGCCTTGAAAAATTATTCTCTAAAGAAATCCACGCCTCTATATGGGCCTTGAAAAATTATTCTGTAAAGAAATCCACGCCTCTATATCGGCCTTTAAAAATTATTCTGTAAAGAAATCCACGCCTCTATATGGGCCTTAAAAATTATCCTGTAAAGATATCCACGCCTCTAAATGGGCCTTTAAAAATTATTCTGTAAAGAAATCCACGCCTCTATATGGGCCTTTAAAAATTATTCTGTAAAGAAATCCACGCCTCTATATGGGCCTTGAAAAATTATTCTGTAAAGAAATCCACGCCTCTATATGGGCCTTTAAAAAATTATTCTGTAAAGAAATCCACGCCTCTATATGGGCCTTTAAAAGTTATTCTGTAATGAATTCCACGCCTCTATATGGGCCTTGAAAAATTATTCTGTAAAGAAATCCACGCCTCTATATGGACCTTGAAAAGTCATTCTGTAAAGAAATCCACGCCTCTATATGGGCCTTGAAAAAATATTCTTTAAAGATTCACGTTGGATTGAGTCCTTGAAAAAAATATTCTTTAAAAACCCCACGCCTATATAGGTACTTTAAAAAATATTCTTTAAAAATCCACGCCTCTATAAGGACTTAAAAAAAATCTTTAAAAACCCCACGCCTCTATAGGTACTTGAAAAAATATTCTTTAAAAAATCCACGCCTCTATAAGGACTTAAAAAAATATTCTTTAAAAAACCCACCTTGTGCAGGTCCCGGAAAATATATTCTTTAAAAAATGCACGCCTCTATAAGGACTTGAACAAATATTCTCACGCCTCTATAAGGACTTAAAAAAAATCTTAAAAAAAACCAACCCTCTATAAGGACTTGAAAAAAAATCTTTTAAAAAAGCCACGCCTCTCTAAGGATTTGAAAAAAAAAATCTTTAAAAAAACCAACCCTCTATAAGGACTTGAAAATATATTCTTTAAAATATCCACGCATCTGTTAGGCTTTGAAAATATATTCTTTAAAAAATCCACCCCTTGTGGTGGCCACGACTTCGATAATCCTTGAAAAGATATTGCTTAAAAAATATACTTCTGGACCTAAGCCTTCGTTTGTCCTTGAAAACCGCACCCGATGGTACGTTGGGTTACTCACGCAGACAAAAATGTGTTTGACATTCCATGACAGTCAATAAAAGGTAAACTACTCGGATAGGTTGGGATGTATTTTATCCCAAAATGAGCATTTAATGGTGTAGCAAATCTGTTGGGTTTATTTTCGCTGCGTGTCGAAAAGCTAGCTACTCACTGAAGAAGAAGTAAGTACACCGCTGTCCGATAACATGATGCTACTGTGGCTACATCAACTAAAACCGATGACATCCATCGCAGATCATGGTGATCTCTGTTGTGACCATGTTTATTCTATGAGCCATGGCCCATGTTTCCATGGGTCATTATCATTATTATGATTTAGTATTTATTGTTTTGGGAGAGTTATTTGTTGCTGCTGCATTTTTTCTTCTTTTGTTTTCTTCAGTTTTCAAAGATGCGATTTTCAGAATTTGTGGAATTTTAATACATCGTCATAAATGTACAAAAATGTGTCTGACTTACTTTTGCTACATCGACGGTGGATGTGAAGTGGCATCTTCCTATTTGGAATGTACATAAGTACGTATATATGTGTGTGTATGTGTGTGCATTTTGTATGAAGTGTACATGCAATTCAGCTTCTGTATCCCTCAGATTAACTGTCGTCACAGGAATTACTTTTGCTGCCGTTATTGCCGATCTTAAAATAGTTTGACAAGTTAACATGACATGAATGTTGACAGTTGTGGCGACATTCTTCGCTGTCTGCGTAGTACGTTTTATTTTTGTTGTTGCTTTCTGTTTACGATTGCTTTAAGAATAATAATTTTAAAATTTATTTTCAGAATTTCTTTGGGCTGTATGGGCAGAGGCTTGGATTTTTAAAGAATAATTTTTTAAAGGTCCATCTGAGGCGTAGATGGATTTGATTGTACATAGATGTGGATTTGTTAAATTATATTTCGTCAAGTCCTTACAGAGGCGTGTATTTTTTAAAGTATAATTTTTCTAATCCTTGTAGAGGCCAGGATTTTTTAAGGAATATGTTTTTAAGACCTTACCGATGCGTGGATGTTTTAAAGAATATTTTTTCAAGACCTTACAGAGAAGTGGATTTTTTAAAAAATATTTTTTCAAGGCATTACAGAGGCGTGGATGTTTTAAAGAGTATTTTTTAAGACCTTACAGAGGCGTGGATGTTTTTAACAATATTTTTTCAAGACCTTACAGAGGCGTGGATGTTTTAAAGAATATTTTTTCAAGACCTTACAGAGGCGTGGATGTTTTAAAGAATATTTTTTCAAGACCTTACAGAGGCGTGGATGTTTTAAAGAATATTTTTTCAAGACCTTACAGAGGCGTGGATGTTTTAATGAATATTTTTTCAATACCTTACAGAGGCGTGGATGTTTTAAAGAATATTTTTTTTGCAGAGACGTGGATTTTTTAGAGAATATTTTTCCAAGTCCTTACATAGTCGGGGTTTTTTTTTTTTTTTTTTTTGAAAAATATTTTTTCAAGTCATCTGATATTCCTCAAAATTCCAAATTCCTCCAAATATATCGATGTGGCATGTTGTGTATGGCAATCGGAATCGGAATTTTTACTTCCGTTTGAAAATTAAAAAAATCATTTAGGTTCAGTTAAAGTTCGGCTTAGCATTTATTTAAATGAAATAAGCTAAGGTTTATTAAAAAAAACTAAATAAATTGTTCGATATTTTGACATAAAATAATTCAAATCTAGACTCTATTTTAAAATACAACTATTATCCTAGAAGTACAGCCAAGTATGGTAATAACGAATTACTTATACAGAAAATTATTTTTAAACACAAAAATACATTTCAATTAATTTTTCTAACTAATAGTTAAGAGTGAACTACATGTTCACGATTTGTACACTAATTGTTTTTTTCATCAATTTTATTTTCATTCGAATCTTAACCCGTTGTGGGGTGAATAACTTTCTTCTTATTGTATTTCCTTTCGGGCAGGAACCACGACATTACTAGCAGAATAAGACACGCTGCAGTCATTGCCCAAAATGTATTATCACAATAATTGAACAGGAGGACACCAATGAAATTGCTACCGAGCACCGCACCGACACGTCCCAGCATCATAATGAAACACATACCCATGGCATTGATATTGGTAGGGAAGAATTCCATGGAAATGGTCGAGACCAAACCGCCCACATTGCCGACACTCATTGTGAATGTGAGCAGTGTTACAATGACGTAGAAATTCGTAGTCCAATGGAGTAGAGTGACACAAATGCCGGACACCACCAGCCATGTAACTGAAATGGAAGAAATATTTTTAATAACCTTTTCTGGGCATCGAATGTTCTGTAACTTACGTATCAAATTCTTTTTGCCAATCAGGTCAATGGTGAAAGAGAAGAACAAATAGAAGAGGGTGAAGGCAGCACCAACCAAAATAATAATCAGGAAGGGGAAAATATCTACATGACCATTGCAGACATCACTGGCCCCAGTATTTGAGCCATCATTCAAATGCACCAATGTATAGCAGACCAGAGGATTTTCGGCATTACTGGCAACCATGGCATTGAGAAGGGTGGGGAACCTGAAATTGAAAATACAAACAAATTATTAAAAAAAATCCACGTATCAAACAGCCCTTAAATATTTTTTTTTTTTTTTTAATGCACGCCTCATATAGTCCTTGAAACAAATATTTTAAAAAATCCACGCCTCATACAGCCCTTGAAACAATTTTTTTAAAAAATCCACGCCTCAGATAGCCCTTAAACAAATTTAAAAAATCCACCCCTCGGGAAAAGAAACCAGAAAGGAAAGTAGTAAAGTCGGACTGGGCCGATATCCGATACCCTTCACCACTTTGGGTATATTCTATATATGTATCCTAACAGAGGTAACGTGTTTGTTATATATCTATATCTGAACCGATTTTAGGGAAACTTGCCAGAGACTAATTTATATTACTTCAGTACGTTGTGTCAATCGTCCTAGCAACATCATTCTAGACTTAATTCAATACCCTATACCAAAATTCGTGCAAATCGAAAGATGTATAGGGACTTTGGTACACCATTTACCTTAAATCGGACGAAGTTATAAATGGGAGCTATATCTAAATCTGAACCGATTTTCACGAAACCTTGCACACATCATTCTAGATTTAATTCAGTACGCCATGCCAAATTTCGTGCAAATCGAAAGATATGTAGGGACTTTGGTACACAATTTACCTTAAATCGGACGAAGCTATATATGGGAGCTATATCTAAATCTGAACCGATTTTCACGAAACCTTACACTCATCATTCTAGACATTTTTCATTACGCTGTTCAATTTTGTTCGAATCGAAAGATATATGGGGACTTTAGTGGAATATTTACCCAAAATCGGTCGAAACTATATATGGCAGCAATATCTAAATCTGAACCGATTTTCACGAAACTTCGCACACATCATTCTAGACCTAATTCAGTAGGCTATAACAAATTTCGTGCAAATCGAAAGATATTTAGGGACTTTGGTACACAATTTACCTTAAATCGGACGAAGCTATATATGGAAGCTATATCTAAATCTGAACCGATTTTCAGGAAACTTAACACTCATCATTCTAGACCTTTTTCATTACGCTGTGCCAAATTTCGTGCAAATCGAAAGATATATAGGGACTTTAGTGGACTATTTACCTAAAATCGGTCGAAACTATATATGGCAGCTATATCTAAATCTGAACCGATTTTCACGAAACTTAGCACACATCATTCTAGACCTAATTCAATAGGCTATAACAAATTTCGTGCAAATCGAAAGATATACAGGGACTTTAGTGGAATATTTACCTAAAATCGGTCGAAACTATATATGGCAGCTGTATCTAAATCTGAACCGATTTTCACGAAACTTAGCACACATCATTCTAGACCTAATTCAATAGGCTATAACAAATTTCGTGCAAATCGAAATATATATATGGACTTTGGTACACCATTTACCTTAAATCGGACGAAAGTATATATGGGAGCTATATCTAAATATTAACCGATTTTTCCAATTTCAGTAGGGTTCGTCCTTGGGCCAAACAAATGAGCTGTACCAAATTTCATCCAATTTGGATCATAAATTGTATTTTGTTTACAATTTAACATGGACAGACGGACGGACGGACATGCATAAATCGACTCAGAAAGTGATTCTATGCATATTTTCAAATGGAATCATGGGTCTATCTCGATTATTTTTGCCTGTTACAAACATATGTACAAAGACATAATACACTGTACCACAGTGTGGGTACAGGGTATGATGTCTTGGGTATAAAAAAGATTCTTTCGAAATAATCCCAATCAAATCCATACTCACCACATAAACAACCCTTGCGATATGCAATAGACGGCCATATTGATAATACAAATATTGATCGTGTGCAAATATCTTTCCTTGGCGAAGAGAGGCTTAGTTTGAGACCAAATCATTTTGACGGCATCCTTTACCCCACCAATATTGGCTAAGTTGGCACCACCAGTTTGAGGAGTAATATGTTGGACGGGAAATTCTGTAGCCGGTTTTCCTGTGTTCTTTGTAAATATCCAACGAAGGGTTTCCAAGGCAGCATTGTTATCACCCTGAACTAACATATACTTCGGGGTCTCAGGAATAAAATACAAGCCAAACAGGGTCAGCAGACTCAAGATACAATTCGTCAGGATCAAAATACGCCATGAGGAGAATTTCATGCCCAACAACATTGTGTCAATTTGGAGGGGCAAGATAAAGGTGGCCATAGCTGTGAATGAGGTGAAATTTTTAAGAATTTAAAAAAAAATATGTCCTCCCTTTACTTACTCGGCAAATACACCAACGAAAGCGGTAAGAAACCCGACAACAACGTCACATGCCTTGTCCTGGTACGATTGCCATGGAACTCTCCAGCCAAACTGAAAACACAAGCCTGGCCACCGGATATAACAAAACCGCTTATAAAGCGGAAAACTATCAGCATCCATATGTTGACAGAAAACGCTGAGATGGCAGTGGAGATGCAGGCCAGGGTAAAGGCCAATCGCAGAGTCTTTACTCGACCCCAGGTATCAGCCAAAAAACCCATGCCATGCGAACTCAAAACAATACCCAAAAATCCCGCTGAAGCCAATATACCTTGTTCGGCCACAGTCGATTCCAGATCACATCTCATCGAGGGCAAAATAATACTGACACACATAATCTCCACCATGACCGTCAGGAAGCACAGGCCACCAACCAATAGCAGCTTGTAATGAAACTTGCCAATTGGCAATAAGCTGATGGCCTCTTCAAAGGTATGTGAGGGTACAATGGTGCCACCATTGGCATTCTTTTCACCTGCAAAGAGAAAAAGAAAACAAAAAGCAGATTTAATAACTGTCACTCAATCTTAATTGGAATTCAAATCTCCTATCAGAAAATGTCAATCTTAATTAGGAATTCAAAATTTCTGAAAATTATTGGAAATTGCCTTAAAAGTTCAGTAGAACTCTCGTCTTTGCCTCGCCATGTTGTCGAATAAAGCTGCTGAGCCTCCAAATACCGGTTCGTCTGGTGATCCTGCTGCAGGACAACCTGCCTCAAATGAACCATTGGATTTTTTCGATACCAAATTATTTCGCTGGATTTCGTTATTTCTATATATGAGCGGTATAAGTGGTCTTGGGTGTGTCCTATCGTTGTATTATTTGGTATTTTTCGATTCCCGCATGCCGGAAATGCATGAACGATTCCCAATTTCTATTGATGGTATCCCATTGCAGAAGCTGCAGGATATGAAACCGTAAGGTAAGTTTCTAGAATAATATATAGAAAATATAAATAAAAATGTCGGTAAGTTCGGCAGGGCCGAACACAGTCTTGGAAAAATCAGTTCATAAAAACCCCATGGCTCAGAGAGACCTTGAAAAATTAGTCCATAAAAAATCCATGCCTCAGGGAGACCTTGAAAAGTAAGTCCTTAAAACATCCACGCCTCAGATAGACCTTGAAAGATTGGTCCTTAAAAATCCACGCCTCAGATAGACCTTAAAAGATTGGTCCATAAAAATCCACGCCTCAGATAGACCTTAAAAAATTAGTCCATAAAAAACCCATGCCTGAGATAGACCTTGGAAAATTAGTCCATTAGTCCATGCCTCAGACAGACCTTAAAAAATTAGTCCATAAAAACCCATGTGTCAGACAGACCTTGAAAAATAAGTGCTTAAAAAATTCACGCCTCAGATAGACTTTGAAAGATTGGGAAAATTCAAGACCTTGAAAAATTAGTCCATAAAAAATCCATGCCTCAGATAGACCTTGAAAAATTAGTCCTTAAAAATCCACTCCTCAGATAGAACTTGAAAAATTAGTCCATAAAAAATCCATGCCTCATATAGACCTTGAAAAATAAGTCCTTAAAAAATCCACGCCTCAGATAGACCTTGAAAAAATTATTCCTTAAAAATTCACTCCTCAAATAGAACTTAAAAAATTAGTCCTTAAAAAATCCATGCCTCAGATAGTCATTGAACAAATATTCTTTAAAAAATCCACGCCTCAGATAGACCTTAAAAAATTATTCCTTAATAATCCACGCCTCAGATAGACCTTAAAAAATTAGTCCTTAAAAATCCACTCCTCAGATAGAACTTGAAAAATTAGACCTTAAAAATCCATGCCTCAGATAGACTGAGGAAAATTAGTCTTTAAAAAATCCACGCCTCAGATAGACCTTGAAAAATTATTCCTTAATAATCCACGCCTCAGTTAGACCTTGAAAAATTAGTCCTTAAAATCCACGACTCAGATAGACTTGGAAAAATTAGTCCTTTAAAATCCATGCCTCAGATAGACCTTGAAAAACTAGTCCATAAAAAATCCATGCCTCAGATAGACTGTGAAAAATTAGTCCCTAAAAATCTACGCCTCCGATAGACCTTGAAAAATTAGTCCTTAAAAATCTACGAAAAATTAGTCCTTAAAAATCTACGCCTCCGATAGACCTTGAAAAATTAGTCCTTAAAACTCCACGCCTCAGATAGACCTTGAAAAAGTAGTCCTTAAAAATCCACGCCTCATGTAGACCTAGAAAAATTAGTCCTTAAAAATCCACGCCTTAGATAGACCTGGAAAAATTAGTCCATAAAAATCCATGCCTCAGATATACCCTGAAAAATGAGTCCATAAAAAACCCATGCCTCAGACAGACCTTGAATAATAAGTCCTCAAAAATCCACGCCTCAGATAGACCTTGAAAAATTAGTCCTTAAAAATCCACGCCTCAGATAGTCCTTAAAAAATCAGATAGACCTTGAAAAATTAGTCCACTAAAAACCACACCTCAGATAGACCGTGAAAAATTATTCTTAAAAAAATCAGATAGACCTTGAAAATTTCTTTTTAAAATCCACGCCTCATTTGGTCCTTGAAAAAAATATTCTTTTTAAAATCCACGCCTCATTTGGTCCTTGAAAAAAAATTATTCTTTTTAAAATCCACGCCTCATTTGGTCCTTGAAAAAAATATTCTTTTTAAAATCCAGGCCTCATTTGGTCCTTGAAAAAAATTTAATTTTCAAAATCCACGCTCATTTGGTCCTTAAAAAATATTCTTTTTGAAATCCACGCCTCATTTGGTCCTTGAAAAAAATATTCTTTTTAAAATTCACGCCTCATTTGGCCCTTGAAAAAATATTGTTTTTAAAATCCACGCCTCATTTGATCCTTAAACAAATATTATTTTTAAAATCTAATCCTTGAAAAATTATTCTTCTAAAAATCTACGCCTTGGTGGGTCCTTGAAAATTTATTCCTTTAAACATCCACGTTTCAGATAGTCCTCGTTCTTTTAAAAATCCACGTTCCAGATAGTCCTTGTTCTTTTAAAAATCCACGCTTTGACAGGTCCTTGAAAAGTATTCTTTTAAAAATCCACACTTTGAAAGGCCCTTGGAAATTATTCTTTTAAAAATCCACGCCTTGGTAAGTCAATGACAAAATAATTTTTATAAAATCCACGCCTTTGGCTGGTACTTGAAAAATTATTCCTCATCCCTTACATAAAAAAAATCTATTTTCCCACTGAATTATCCTTTACCCCCAATTTGACCTCAAAGTTCATAATAATTTCCACAAATTGCACCCTAATCCTGCCAATGGACGAACATATTTCCAATGTTCTCACGCTTCATATTGAATTACCAGCTAAAAGGATTACAAATTATTTCTACGCTAATTATAATGCAAATCGAATTTGCTCGACAACCGCCAAAAATTACCACAACTTTTGAACATAATTTTCCAAGAGCCAAACAACCGAACGAACTATCGTTGTTGTTGTTGCTTCCGCGGCTGCTGCTCCTGCTGTTGTTGTGCTTGTTCTATTGCCCACTAAATGTATTTTCATTTATTCTGATTCAAATTGTAGTTTGGAATTTATGAGCTTTTCCGAGTGTGTCAGTGTGTGTGTGCATGTGCCTAAGTGCGTATTTGTATGATGTATGTATGTATTTAATATTCATTTATTTTTCTAGAAATATTTTTTGTTATTTTTTTCAATGGCAACATTTTTGCTGCAATTCACAGACTTTATGACTATTGACGTTGTATGTAGTGTATGTGCATGTGTATGTATGTTTGGGTCACGTTTATTTATTGTCAATTTCTCTGTTTCATAAACGACAACGATGACCCTCTCGACAACGAATATCTCAATAATTGTGTGTGTGTCTACAAACAAAATGTTTAATATGTGATGGTTATGGCACCAACAGCCAAGAACATCGCCAACACCACCACACACACCCAACGTCAACAGACAACAACAAACACCAATGTTATCATCATTAACATCGTCAACAGAGGGTTCAAAAGGCCAACCATTACGAAGCAATAACAACAACAAATAGAGAATCATGTGCAACAAAATGCAAATCAATGCAATGACCGAGTGGTGGACACAGATTTTGAAAATACCCTAAGAATAAGATGGATGTTCTAAAAAGGCGTAGATTTCTTAAAGAATATTTTTTCAAGGACCTGACAAGGCGTGGATTTCTTAAAGAAGATTTTTTAAAGGACCTGACAAGGCGTGGATTTCTTAAAGAAGATTTTTTCAAGGACCTGACAAGGCGTGGATTTCTTAAAGAAGATTTTTTCAAGGACCTGACAAGACGTGGATTTCTTAAAGAAGATTTTTTCAAGGACCTGACAAGGCGTGGATTTCTTAACGAAGATTTTTTCAAGGACCTGACAATGCGTGGATTTCTTAACGAAGATTTTTTCAAGGACCTGACAAGGCGTGGATTTCTTAACGAAGATTTTTTCAAGGACCTGACAAGGCGTGGATTTCTTAACGAAGATTTTTTCAAGGACCTGACAAGGCGTGGATTTCTTAACGAATATTTTTTCAGCGACAGACAAATAGGCGTGGATTTCTTAACGAATATTTTTTCAGCGACAGACAAATAGGCGTGGATTTCTTAACGAATATTTTTTTCAAGGATCTATACAGAGCGTGGATTTTTAAAGAATATTTTTTCAAGGACCTGACAAGGCGTGGATTTCTTAAGAAGATTTTTTCAAGGACCTGACAAGGCGTGGATTTCTTAAGAAGATTTTTTCAAGGACCACACAAGGCGTGGATTTCTTAAAGAAGATTTTTTCAAGGACCTGACAACGCGTGGATTTCTTAACGAAGATTTTTTCATGGATTTCTTAACGAAGATTTTTTCAAGGACCTGACAAGGCGTGAATTTCTTAAAGAATATTTGTTCATGGATTTCTTAACGAAGTTTTTTTCAAGGACCTGACAAGGCGTGGATTTCTTAAAGAATATTTTTTCAAGGACCTGACAAGGCGTGGATTTCTTAAAGATTTTTTTTCAAGAACCTGACAAGGCGTGAATTTCTTAAAGAATATTTTTTCAAGGACCTGACAAGGCGTAGATTTCTTAAAGAGTATTTTTTCAAGGACCTGCCAAGACGTGGATTTCTTAAAGAATATTTTTTCAAGGACTCACACAAGGCGTGGATTTCTTAAAGAATATTTTTTCAAGGACTCACACAAGGCGTGGATTTCTTAAAGAATATTTTTTCAAGGACTCACACAAGGCGTGGATTTCTTAAGAATACTTTTTCAAGGACCTGACAAGGCGAGGATTTCGTAAAGAATATTTTTTCAAGGACTCACACAAGGCGTGGATTTCTTAAAGAATATTTTTTCAAGGACTCACACAAGGCGTGGATTTCTTAAAGAATATTTTTTCAAGGACTCACACAAGGCGTGGATTTCTTAAAGAATATTTTTTCAAGGACTCACACAAGGCGTGGATTTCTTAAAGAATATTTTTTCAAGGACCTGACAAGGTGTGAATTTCTTAAAGGATATTTTTTCAAGAACCTGACAAGGCGTAGGTTTCTTAAATAATATATTTTAAAGTCCTGACAGGGGTTGAATTTTTAAAAAAATATTTTTTCCACATCCAGCCAGGACCAAAAGACTAGAACCATCTGATGAATGTCTAAGGCTTCGATTTTTTAAGTAATAGTCTTTTAAGAATGTTCTGAGGCTTGGAATTGTTAACGACTAATTTCTTAAGAAGGACCTGAAGCGTTGATTTTTAAGAAGATTTTTAAAGATTGCCTGAGGCATAGCATTTTTAAGAATTTTTTTTAAGGATTGTGTGAGGCGTAGAATTTTTAAGAATATGTTTAAGGGGAATATGGGGCGCAGATTTTTAAGGGTGCTTTTATACATCGATTTTTTAAAGAATATTTTGCAGGAACCCCCGTTTTATTTTTTTTTTAAGGATTTTCTTTAAGAAAATGTTCACGAATATATATGCGCTAATTTTCGCATGTTAATTACAACATTGTTTTCTAAATCCCACTAAGTTAACCAAATCCCCTTTTCACCTTTTGTAAGCTTTCAAAAGTGCAAGCAAAAACGTAAAATACCCACTCTTCAACAGGTAGGGAAGCCATGTTTACAGAGAACCATCAAATGCAACAATTTCCATGAGTCAATTCCTCCCAAAATGCATTCTGGTCAATTAGAGAGAATAACCGCAAAACTGGAAAAAAGTGGGAGAAAACACAAAAATCGAATCCGAATAAAATAAAACGGAAACAAAAAAAAACTAACACAAAAACTAATGTGGCAAAGAATTGGAGAATTTTGTGGTAAACAATTCTCAAAGTGGCGTCGTCTCCGGCGTCGTTAGGTTATTAGTGAGTGAGTGGTTCACATAAAATTTCACGGTTTACGACGCCACAAGGCAAGAAACCTTTGCTGCAATAGCCCACCTAGCTGGCCAACAACAACAAAAAAATCCAAAGAACTAAGCTAAGAAAATATTTCTAAGAAATTCAATATCGCCAAGGAGGTGGACAACAAAGCTACTGCGGCTAGCTGCTGGTCGTCCGACCGACAGATTCGAGTGTCATTCGATAGTTTTTTCTCTAGATGTGAAGAAAAGTTTCGTTTAACTGAAATTAACGCGCCTCGCTCTAATACGATATTAAACATAAAATTAATTAATTAATAGGAAAAAATATAAAAAAAACAGCAATAAAGAAAAAAAAATCAAATAAAAATGTCTCAACCACCAGCGGAACAGAAAAAAGACGAAGAAATCCCAGTGCCCAAAAACGATGACTTTTTCGAATCGAAAACTTTCCGCATCATATCCGTATTCCTGTACATGGGTGGCATTAGCGGCCTGGGCATGACCCTAGCCATGTATTATCTATTCATTTGGGATTCGAGTATGCCACCGCTACCGGATATCAAACATCTGCATCACAATGGATAAAACCAACAATTTTCTGTCCTCCAAAAAATCAAATATCTCTATTCCTGTTCACTCTCTATATATCGCATGCTGTGAATCAACAATACCCATCGCAATTAAGGTAGGTGATAGAGGAGATGTTGTTGCCGTTGTTGTTGCTGCTGTTTATTTTAGCAATGACAATATCAACACCACTACTGATGCACCTACAAATCGGCCGATTAATTGAAACACTGATTGAATCCCCTGGATAAAAACAAAATGTATTATCCGATGATGTGTCATGTTTGTTGTTTTGTGTTCTTTTGTTGTCTGTCAGTTCGTTGTTTGTTTGTTAAATTCAGTATTTTTTTATGTTTAATCCCTGTACAATATACACATATAAAAATCCATCAACCAAAAAATACGAAGAAAAAGAAAAAATAAAAATAATTAGATTTACTTTGGAAAAATTGTTTGCTTTTTTGTCGATTTATTTGGGATTAAAATACAAGTGATTTAATTGTGTGTATATGTTGCCATTTGCTTTTCCTTGAAATTGAATAATCTGTACGAATGGTGAATATATGTATTTGTTAATCAATATAAGAGCCGTGGGGTTAGAGAAAAATTTAAGAATTTTTTCAGGAACTAAAGAAGCGTAGATTTTTAGAGTAATGTTTTTTAATGGCTATGCAAAATTATAATTTTAAATAATATTTTTCAAGGACTAGGAATATATTCTACATGGACTAACCAAGGTATACATTTTTCAACGAAAATTCTTCGAGGGCCTATAGAAACCTGAATATTTTAAATAATAACTTTATAAGGAATATATTGACCTGAATTTTTTGAAAGACTATAAAGAGTGGATTTTTAAAGTATACTTTTCAAAGTCCAACCAGAAAGAAAGTAGTAAAGTTGGACGGGGCCGACTATAGATACCCTTCACCACTTTGGGTATATTCAACAGATATATGCAATTTTACCAGTACAATGAAATTGGATCCATAAACATGTCATTTTGCAACCGATACTAATTTTTTCATTTGGTCAGACATAGAAGCTATATCTAAATCGGAACCGATTTTCAGGAAACTTAACACACATCATTCTAGACCTAATAAATTACGCTGTGCCAAATGTCGTGCAAATCGAAAGATATATGGGGACTTTGGTGCACCATTTACATTAAATCGGACGGAACTATATATGGGAGCTATATATAAATGTGAACCGATTTTCAGGAAACTTAACACACATCATTCTAGACCTAATTCATTACGCTGTGCCAAATTTCGTGCAAATCGAATGATATATAACCACTTTGGTGCACGTTTTACCTTAAATCGGACGAAAATATATATGGGAGCTATATCTAAATCAGAACCGATTTTCTCAAAACTTAACACACATTATTCTAGGCCTAATTCATTACGCTGTGCCAAATTTCGTGCAAATCGAAAGATATATAGGGACATTGGTGCACCATTTACATTAAATCGGTCGAAAATATATATATGAGCTATATCTAAATCTGAACAGATTTTCAGGAAACTTAACACACATCATTCTAGACCTAATTCATTACGCTGTGCCAAATTTCGTGCAAATCGAATGATATATAACCACTTTGGTGCACGTTTTACCTTAAATCGGACGAAAATATATATGGAAGCTATATCTAAATCAGAACCGATTTTCTCAAAACTTAACACACATTATTCTAGGCCTAGTTCATTACGCTGTGCCAAATTTCGTGCAAATCGAATGATATATAGGGACATTGGTGCACCGTTTACATTAAATCGGACGAAAATATATATGGGAGCTATATCTAAATTTGAACCGATTTTTTCCAATTTCAATAGGGTACGTCCTTGGGCCAAATAAAAAAACTATTCCTTATAGTCCCTGGCAAATTTTTCACAGAGTACTGAATTAGGTCCAGTTTTATGTCTGTGAAGTCTTGGTGAAATCGGTTCACATTTAGATATAGCCCCCATATGTAACTGGTGCACCAATAATGGACACAAAATTTTGCACAGAGTACTGAATTAGGCCTAGATTGATATATGCAAAGTTTTGTTGTAATCGGTTTAGATTTAAATATAGCTCCCATATATAGTTTCGTCCGATTTTATGTAAATGGAGCGCCAAACAGTCAATGTTTTCCGATTGAGACAAAATTTTGCATATCATATTGAAGTTACCATACATATATACATATATATATATATATGTATACATTTTCGTTTAATTTTATGTAAATGGTTCAGATATTAATATAGCTCATATATATACTTTAGTCCCATGGGGCCCCATAGTTCCTGTTCTATTTGCACGATAGTTTGTTGTTAAATTAGGTTCAGATGTAGATATAGCTCCCTCATATATTTTTGTCCGATTTTATGCAAATGCGGCAATTGGAGGAGCCTATGCGATCTGAACTATGTCCAATTTTATGTCTGTGAAGTCTTGGTGAAACCGGTTCACATTTAGATATAGCTCCCATATATAGTTTCGTCCGATTTTACGTTTGATGTCTGTGATGTTTTATTGAACAGCGCACTGTGCCGCAGCATATTAAATGGTGGATACATCCAGAATTACATATATATATATATATATATATACATATATGAAGAAATATTAAAAACCCTTTTTTAAAATAATAATAATTTGAAACCAGTGAGCGGAGCAGTATAGTCGGACGGGATCGATCTTCCACGAAAATATAACATTCTGTGGTTCTGTATTCTGAGCTTGGACAATATTTCGCAATGTTTGCACCTTCTTGACAATCTAGAGGTCAACAAATATTACTAATATTCAGTACAGCCCTTCTAATTACTTGTGCACATTCCCTTCACCGTGGGTTGTTTTGTGACGTTCAGCTTTCAATTGTGGCTATAGATCGACTTGAAAAACACAAAAAATTAAGTTTTCGGTCCACTTCATCCCAAAATTATTATCCGATTATCATCGAAAATTATAGGCGTTGTCCTTGACCATACCTGGATCCTCGATCAGCGCTATATTTACGCCCTCTAGTGTGGTAATGGATTACTAAATAATATCTGAATACGTAAGCACCTGTAAATATTTAAGTGCAACTCCCACATCAGAGTACTTACGACCATATAATTGGTATCACTGAAAAGGTCAACCACTCCTCTTGGATATACTATCAACTTATCGGTTCTATGTCCTTCAGGATTAAATAAATACGCCATAGAATACAAATTTTGTAATTTTTCACACAAAAGTCAGGGTCCATTTGACCCGCTAAATATTGATCTATCTTTATCGAAACAAGCATGCTTATTCTTTAGCTCGATCCCCAGAAATACAGACAAAAATTAAGTATTTGGTCCATTTCATCCCCTAAATATAATCCGATCTTTATCAAAAACAATAGGGGTCTTTATTGACCAGAACCCATTCTACATGCAAAATTTCGTAGATATTGGTCAATAACTGTGACCTGTATCGTGTTTACAAAATATAATGGACAGACGGACGGACGGACACACATGTCTAGATTGACTCAGCTAGTCGAGATATGACGATCGGTATACTTAAAGGTTGGTCTAGGACCAATATTTCGCTATAAAGCTATAATACCCTGACAAAAGCTATAATACCCTGACAACATAGTTGTGTATGGTATAAAAAACCCATGAGATGGATTCTAAGGTCTTAAGGACTTTTCTTATATGAAATACTGTAATGTTGCTTTGGGCTGTATTTTATTAATAGGAAAAATTCTAAAATACTACAAGCTTCACACCTCTCCCATATAATTCCTTTAGAAGTTTTTTTTTTTCAATAAAAATACAATTCTTAGAATTCACTTCCAAAGGCCGAGTAAATATTTGAAAGCCCTTATGACCACACATTAGTTCCCCATTATAGTGTCCCCATTCTGAGCTATTCCCAAGCATTTCATTAGAAATCTCCCACATGGAAAATTGAATTATTTTATTTTGTGAACTTTATTTCCAATAGGTCTTTGTTCTATATTTCAAAATATTCGAAATTCACCTGCCTGCCACACAGAACACCAACCTCCGCCTATCCACCCCCCAAATAAATTAATTGACAGTAGCTCGTTGCCAATTGTTAGCAAAATAGCAATTTAAAGTCAATTTTTTTCGTCATCGCCATCATCGTCGCATGCCAACTATGGATATTTGCAAATAACAACAGTGGAAGCTCTTATATAACCAACATTCCGGGCTGGATTATGGACTTTTCCATTGGATTGGCAACAGAAAACCAAAAAAAAAAAAAACAAAAACAAAACCTTTGTGACAACAACGACAACCATGCGAAACCGCATGGTATTGGTGGCTGCCACGAAGCCTGCCAATGGTTGTGAAAATTCCCAAACACCAACGGGGGCTTCTAGTGTTTCCTGCTATGTAATGTATTATGTGAATGGAAGTGGGAGGAGGAGGAGGAGATTTTGGGCTGGCTGGACAGATTGTCGGCTAGTCGGCTTGCTGGTATCATCCTCATAGTGTCACTGCTGCTATTGCTGTTGTCATAACGAATTGGAAAGGTAAACATGATGCGTTGGCAGTTTTAAAAACGAATTAATCGGCTTTCATTTCCATTTGATTAACTTACAGTCACAACACTTGCTATGCTTGTTGTTGTTCTTGTAGTTTTTTTTTCATTGGGTCTGAAGGGAAGGAAGATATCAGCCGACCAGCTGAATAGCCTTTGTTCACTGACAATGGCAGTTAACATCCAGTATAGTAGGTTTTTTGATCGAGAAGTAACGACAGTTTGGCAATTTCTAAAGAACCGAGCCAAGAAGGAAAAAACCAAAATATTTTTTCTTATATTTTCCCACAATAAAAGGAGGACAAATAAACAAACCAAGAGAAGCGCAAATTTTTAATTTATCTAGAAAAAATTGAAAATTAAAAAAAAATCAAACTTTAAAAAATAAATAATTAAAGAAAACCCTTCTGTGAAAAAAATAAAAATTTTTATAAAACAAAAATATGGCCGCCAGCTCATTGTCCCTGAAAAAAGTGGTCAATATTATGACCCCCGTTGAGGAGACTCAAACGGAAAGCAATACCCCGGAAAATCGTTCCTCACCAACTACATCTTCTTCGCGTTCATATTCACCGCCTCGCCGCCCACTCCAAAACGATGATATACTCTTCCCGGAACCAACCTTCTCCGAGAAATTTTTACGTTATTTAATGGTCGGCATCTATTTGGGTGGCCTCAGCGGCCTCGGTTTCGTTTTGTCCATTTATTATATCTTCTTTTGGGATTCGCGTATGCCACCCGTTTATAAGCCAGCCAAAAAAGCCACAACAACGCTATTTATGAAACCATAAACGGAAATTTTAATGTCCAGCCATTATATCAATACCGAAAAAACAAATAAAATGAAAAACAAACAATCTATAAGAAGCATCAAAGGAGAATCCTTCACCATTTATCCATCCATTCATCCATCATCATCAGCAGCAGCAGCAGAAGTTGTAGCAGGTATGTCAAAGAATTTCTTTCCCCCAAACTCGAAAGTTATTCATATTTATTTTTTTATTTAATTTGTGTTAACAAAATCCTTTTTAAATACTTTAACAAATACTTTGGTGGCACCATTTCGTTTAAGACACAAGGTTGTTGGGGGGCCAAAGGGGTTTCAAATTGATACTTGATAATATTTTTTCCCCTCAAAATAAGAATTTCTTCTTAAAATGGAAAAATATGTATAAGAAACCAGTGAGCGGAGCACTGGTACACAACTACCACGAAAAGCAAACTTTCTGCGCTTCTATATTCTGAGACTGGGCAATATTTCGTGATATTTGCATTTATTTATATTTGGTCACTTTAGGTTTTTGTTAATTTGACCCTCGGAATATTGACCGATCATCATCTACACAGCCGATCTAAGTATTTGGTCAGATCCCCTTCACCTTGTAAAATATGTGATGTTCTGCTATAATAATTGCCTCTAGAACGACTAGAAAATCTGACAAAATTAAAGTTTTCTGTTCATTACACCCCCTGACTGAAATCTCAACTTCACCGAAAACTATAGGCGTCGTCCTTGACCGTAATCGGAACTTCATGTACAATTTGAAAGTGATCAGCGCTACATTTCCGTCCTCTAATGGAGTAATAGTAATACTAGGCACATAGTCACCATTACCTAATTACGGATAACTCCCACATCAGAATACATACAGCCATATAATTGGTATTAATTTGAAGGTCAACAACTCATCTTGGATATACTATCAACTTTTCGGGTATATGTCCTTCAGGAGCAAGTATATATGCCCCAGAATAAAGATTTTGTAATTTTTCACACAAAAGTCAGGGTCCATTTGACCCGCTAAATATTGACCGATCTTTATCCAAACAGGCATGCTTATTCTTTGGTCCGATCCCCTTCTCCATGCAAAAATTCGGAGTGTTTTGGCAATAATTGCGGCCTGTGGAGCGAACAAAAAAACCAACAAAAATAAAGTTTTTGGTCCATTTCATGGCCAGAACCCATCCTACATGCAAAATTTCGTGAAGATTGGTCCATAACTGTGGCCTGTATCGTGTTTACAAATTATAATGGACATACGGACGGACGGACACACATGTCTAGATCGACTCAGCTAGTCGAGATATGACGATCGGTATACTTAAATATAATACCCTGACAACATAGTTGTGTAGGGTATAAAAATTTTGTATTATCTATGGGTTCGATTTTCTACAACCATTTATAATATCAAAAAAAATACTGAAAAATGTTCTGTCCTTTATTTGATATCAATTAGAATGACTACGGAGTTAAGAGCCAAACTTAGCCGGATAATGACCATTACAACGGCCATTATCCACGGCCATTACCACGGCCATTATCCGGCTATGTTGGAGATTTCGACGGTATATGATAAATTTTTTATTATAATCTAACATGAAAATTCTTTCTTGTAGGAAAATTTGAATGTCCCTTGTCCCTACCGCAAAAAAATTGTAGAATATATAAGCACTGCAGTTTTCCTATAGGAAACGTTTTCCAGTCCCAAACAACTGTGTTTTCCCTTGAAGGCTGTATTCTAGTAGGATCAGATTTAAAGTGCCTTGGACTATTTTGCTCAAATCCCTATGAAATGTTTAGAAAACTTACAAATATATTCTACATTTCTTTAGAACTATGTTTTGTTCAAGTAGGGTCACATCAATAGTCCCCTAGGACAGTAGTTTTCCAATAGGAACACATCTAAAATCCCTTAGAACCTTAGACATATTGTTGTTTTTAATCAACAAACTCTAAAGACCCATAACATTGTTATACCCTTCACCACACTGTGGTACAGGGTATTATGTCTTTGTGCATATGTTTGTAACAGGCAAAAACAATCGAGATAGACCCATGGTTCCTTTTGAGAATATGCATAGAATCACTTTCTGAGTCGATTTATGCATGTCCGTCCGTCCGTCCATCTGTCCGTCTGTAGATGTAAAATTGTAAACAAAGTACAGGTCGCATTTATGATCCGAATTGGATGAAATTTGGCACAGCTCATTTGTTTGGCCCAAGGACGAACCCTATTGAAATTGGGAAAAATCGGTTCAGATTTAGATATAGCTCCCATATATATTTTCGTCCGATTTAATGTAAATGGTCCCTATATATCGTTCGATTTGCATGAAATTTGGCACAGCGTAATGAATTAGGTCTAGAATGATGTGTGTAAAATTTCATAAAAATCAGTTCAGATTTAGATATAGCTCCCATATATATCTTCGTCCGATTTAAGGTAAATTGTGTACCAAAGTCCCTATATATCGTTCGATTTGCATGAAATTTGGCACAGTGTAATGAATAAGGTCTAGACTGATGTATGCCAAGTTTCGTGAAAATCGGTTCAGATTTAGATATAGCTCCCATATATATCTTCGCCCGATTTAAGGTAAATGGTGTACCAAAGTCCCTATATACCATTCGATTTGCACGAAAATTGGCACAGCGTAATGAATTACGTCTAGAATGATATGTGTAAAATTTCATAAAAATCGGTTCAGATTTAGATATAGCTCCCATATATATCTTCGTCCGATTTAAGGTAAATGGTGTACCAAAGCCCCTATATATCTTTCGATTTGCACGAAATTTGGCACAGCGTAATGAATAAGGTCTAGAATGATGTATGCCAAGTTTCGTGAAAATCGGTTCAGATTTAGATATAGCTCCCATATATATCTTCGTCCGATTTAAGGTAAATTGTGTACCAAAGCCCCTATATATCTTTCGATTTGCACGAAATTTGGCAAAGCGTAATGAATAAGGTCTAGAATGATGTATGCCAAGTTTCGTGAAAATCGGTTCAGATTTAGATATCGCTCCCATATATATCTTCGTACGATTTAAGGTAAATTGTGTACAAAAGTCCCTATATATCTTTCGATTTGCACGAAATTTGGCACAGCGTAATGAATAAGGTCTAGAATGATGTATGCTAAGTTTTGTGAAAATCGGTTCAGATTCAGATATAGCTTCCATATATATCTTCGTCCGATTTAAGGTAAATGGTGTACCAAAGTCCCTATATACCATTAGATTTGCACGAAAATTGGCACAGCGTAATGAATTAGGTCTAGAATGATGTGTGTAAAATTTCATAAAAATCGGTTCAGATTTAGATATAGCTCCCATATATATTTTCGTCCGATTTTATGTAATTGGTGCACCAAAGTCCCTATATATCTTTCGATTTGCACGAATTTTGGTATAGGGTACGTTGGTCAGCTAAGTACTTCGCGTTGTTACAAGAGACATTTGGGTTTGAAAGGTTTTTTGTATAGAAGCAATAGCTTCTGGGGAGAATATCCCAACAGAAAACTAAGGGAACTGATGAGGATCAGTGGCGTGATCCGAAACTATAGTCTTCCCTGCCTTACCCCTCGGCAATCAATGTCATACATTCCTCACTAATAAATAGTTCTTTTTTATAAAAACAAAATACAAATGATATCCCAAATAAACCGCCAACACTACTGAAGTACTGAATTAAGTCTAAAATGATGTTGCTAAGCTGGATACATATGTAGAATTTACCCAAAGTGGTGAAGGGTATCATATAGTCGGCCCAGCCCGACTTTACTACTTTCCTTACTGGTTTTTCTTATAAAAAAAACACCTCCAATTCCTTAATGCTATATTTTTCTCTAAAATTCCTGTAGAAACAAATATAAAGTCCCTTAAGACTATTGTTTTTTCAAAGGGAAAATCTATAATCCCCTAGGTCCCCCTATTTGGACAGTCTTCTTCGTATACAAAGAAACAAATGCTGTTTTTCCAGTTGAAAACAAATCATAAATCGATTGGGGCTGAGTATTTTTATATCAGAAAATTTTAAATCCTTTCGGGCTTTGTATTTTTCAAAAAAAATCAAAAATAATTAAAACATTCGATCGACACATTCTTATAAAAAATGTGGTAATACCCTCGGGACAGTATTTTTATACACTTCACCACACTGTGGTACAGGGTATTATGTCTTTGGCATATGTTTTTAACAGGCAAAAGGATCACTTTCTGAGTCGATTTATGCATGTCCGTCCGGCGCAGCTCACTTATTTGGCCCAAAGAGGAATCCTATTGAAATTAGAGAAAATCGATTTAGATATAGCTCCCATATATTGTCCGATTTTATATATTATAGGTCCAATATTGGTCCGTTTGAGAAAAAAAAATTGCACATAGTACTGAATTAGGTCCCTATTGATACATGCGAAGATTTGTTGATATCGGTTCAGATTTAGCTCCCATATATAGTTTCGTCCGATTTTATGTAAATGCTTCAGCAAATTCCCAATATTGGTCTGTTTGAGACAAAATTTTGCACAGAGTCCAGAATAAGGTCCATATTGATGTATGCGAAGTTTTGTGGAATTAGTTCAGATTGGGATATAGCTCCCATATATAATTTTCTTCGATTTTATGTAAATGGTGCGCCTAGGTGTCTATGTTTGTTCTATATTCACGAAATTTTATAGCGGGTATAGATTTTAGTCTAAAATACAGGTCGCAGTTTTGACTCGAATTGGATGAAATTTGGCACAGCTCATTTATTTGGACCAAGAATGAACCCTATTGAAATTGGGAAAAATCGGTTCAGATTTTGATATAGCTCCCATATATATTTTTTCGTCCGATTTAAGGTAAATCGTGCACCATTCGGTTTGCACTAAATTTGAGACAGCTACTGAATTGAGTCTAGATTGAAGAGTGGTGAGTTTCGGAAAAATCGGTTCAGATTTCGATATAGCTCCCAGATATATTTTCGTCCGATTTTAGATGAATACAGCTCCAAAATCCCTT